ATTTCATCAAAATCATCATTTTCAGCAGAGGGGATTATCTCAGTTGAACATACCTTACCCATCTTGGCGATTTAATCTGACCTTCAGATACAACAAGGAGGGATTCTGTCGATGGCGTTTGTCGGGGTTGCGAGCAAAGGTCGATGGGTGTGGAATTTTCGCTGTTTCGCTGCGAGGTCACGCGTTTGTGCGGTGGCGCCCCACCGGGCTTCTATCCGCTGCCCCCTTCGGTTAGCCGGTTACATAAGATTGCTGTGCTGGGGTGCTGAGTAATACGGCTTTATGCGGTGGATAGATGCCAGAACTAGTTAGTGCGGACTTCCTCAAGGTTCACATTTGTTAGTGGCCTCAGGAATCAAGCCAACAAGACTTGGGCTCTCTATTGGAAATGCAAGATGCTGCGTTCGCAGGCATACTTCATTGCATAGCAGGATATTGCTTCATATTGCCCTTTTCCACCACTCTTGAGGAGATAATGGGGTATTATTGGCGACACATCCATCATTCTCCGCTTTGACGCACCCCGAGATCTTAGCCTGTTGAAGCTGTCCGGGAGGTCTACTCAATATGCTGTTGCTCAACCGCCATCATGGTCAATGACGAACTCAGGCGTTGGTGGCTGTTACCACTGCGCATTAACAATCTTATCAGTTCTGCACGACACTGTAGGTCGACATGCTTTGAGAGGACGCAAATACTAGCTGCCTTCGATATTCGGAAGTCAGAATGAAACAGCCTAATTTGAGAGTCGACCAGACTAGGCAGTTATTGAGGAAATGCGACCTGCTATCAGACTGTTGGCTTACGTCGGCTTTTGTATGTCTCTAGATTGCCTCGTCTGACTACTTAGGAGTGGAATCACTGAAGGTATCTAGTCCGACACCAGACATTGTGTGATGTAGAAAGGGATTTGAAGGACGGAAAGAAAAGGCCGTCTTCAACAAGGTAGTATTCTTCTCAACATAATCAAGCTATCACACATCAGTCAGGAAGATTGGGGTGCTGCAGGAAGTGCTCCTTCCTTGGTAAGCGATAGGCCTGCCGTTCTAGGCGATTGGCGCTATACTCTACGCTCTTCAATCGGGAAAGATTTCTCGATTGGTCTCTCTATGTGGCCTAGACATAGTAATCAAGCGCCAGGACTGCAAAAACATTAGCTCATATTTACAATAGCCCCTAGAACAAGAACCACACCAGATCACCGTGGTTATGACACTCGATAGTTGTCTGTATCGATAGGCCTGTATATAGGCTACGCATCTGAGCTTCAACCTCCAAGCATCAAGGGGCGGTAAGCTACATGATTGGCCATTTAGAATCATATGAAAAGAAATATAGACATCATTGCATTGAACACTCTGTAAGGTAGACAGTGTCCTCCCAAGCTGGCAAAGAGGAAATTGTTCTTCGATTACCTGCTCTGCTACGCTCTTGCCACTTCGAGCACTAGCAGGAGATTCGATCGCTTCATGATCGATAATTAGATGTGACGCGGACCTTTTTATGCAAGATCCCTGCTGGAACTACCAGCTTCACAAGATAGTACTCATTGCGCCTCATGGAATTCCTTGAAAAGTCTTGCGAGGTTCATGAGAAGGGCTGCCTATTATGGCATGACACTCGCAGGTATCCAGCCCCTATCTGGTCCATTACCGTTCTGTCCAATACGCCGGCCTCATATGGTCCACTCTTTTGGACAATCATGAGTAGACTTTCTTGACTACTCGACTGGCGTCTAGATATTTCGAAGATTATCCATTAAGTATGGTCACTGGGTCTAACGGATTTGGACCCAGACAGTATTGGGCTTGTTCCCCATACCAAACTCGTCAAGGTGTGTGTCCAGACATCAACCCATCATGCAAATCACTACGCGTCGGTGCCTAATTGATGGAGCAGGCTAGTGACGCCTTGAGTCGGAGATTCTAGTGATGCGAGGAGACTTTTCTCGGAGGCCGCAAGTAACTCCCGAGACTACACCACACACCATAGAGTGAGGTTTCGATTCGAACCAAATATGCACGAGATTGGAAGCGTGGGGCTTACTGGTGCAGACATTTGAATACACTGACTCCACGATTGCGTATGAGTCATAGTCGTGGGATGCCAGTGCAGAGACCGTTGCTGCCGTGTAACAGCTCTCCAAAGGCCGATGGTATGCTTTCCATGATAGCTCAGGCAAGTAGTCTGGCCGTAATTACTCAGATTGGGACTAGATAACTATTAGTCCAGTAAATGAGTAGACGGACCCTACGCATGCGGAGTTGACTGCCTTTACAGATCACTGGGACTAGACATCCCCTTGATTGTATCAACAACAAGCCGTGCGAGCTGCGTAGTGGTTTACATCACATGAATGCTCTACCATGGTATCGCAATAGGATCCGACAAGTTTGCAAGTGAGTGGATGCCTTACAAAGTGTCCCAATAGCCTCGAGATTGGTCCTCGATAATGCCTAAGATATGGGCGTGAAGCGACTGGCACTAATTCCTTACCTTGTGACTCCTCTCGAACCAGGATGAACATGTTTGGCAAGGGGTTAGCAGTACAACGAGCTGCAGGATTTCCGTCGAGATCCGGTGATATGTCGACCTGCTATTGCCTAGAGTACTTTGTGTACTTTTGATTGTATCGGTGTGGAGCGAAATTCCGATATGTCCCCGGCCCATATCCACAACCACGTTGCATTGCGTCGCAACGGCGCTGGCATGTGCGTACTGCGTAGGCAGAAATTTCCGACGTATAGCGAGCAGTGACGAACAGATCCACTGCAAGGTACGTGGTATGCCCGGGATGCGAGTTGCTTGTTCCTGTCTATCCGAGCGGGGGTACCTGGCAGTCGGTGAGCAGGCAGCCCAATGCCGGTTGTCATTGGGTGCAGCGAAGGGAATCTGAAACGCAGGTGGATCGGCGGTGACGGGGAGTTGAGTTCGTTTGAGAATCGCGGTGGAGGGAGGGCGATGCTTCAGATCAGTGGTGGATGAGAATGCGATTAGGTTTGGCTATGATTATAGTGTAGTTCGTGGGATGGAATTGGTAGTGCCATGTGTTTTGCTTGATTTTCTCGGTTGAGGCAGATTTGTCGATCGCGAGGGGAAGAGAGAAGGATTGACTGGAACAGTGTAGTGAGTATTTGCATCGTATGGTATTTAAAATATTTCAAGTATTATGACTTTTTCAATATTGAACTGCAAAAAGGAAGTAGTATTATTGTCAGCTGATGTGTTGCATTGTTTGCCTTTGCAGCTGGTAATTTTGGAGAGTAAATCAGAGAGATGAGAACAATCATTGCTGGCTTTTCTTGCGATCGCAGGTGGAGACTGCTGGTATGCTGTGATCTGATCAATAATGACTGACTGACAGACTCGAATTCGAGTCCACTCTTTGTCTGCAATGATCGTTCATTCTCCCCCTCCTCTTCCCACACTTTGCTTTTGCTGTTCCTGGTTTCATGTGACTGATTTTCTTCATTTCCGCAACAGACTGAGCCAGTCACAGTCGCAGTCTTACCTACACCCATTTTCAACACAACAATCAGTTGATCCTAAATTCTAAATCCTTTCAATATTCAGCTTTTGGCCATCATACTATCAAGTATCGACCTGATCGATCGGTGGAGTCTGATGCCGTTGCGCCACCGTCATTAGTTCCTTGCTGAGACACTCCACGGCCGGGACGCATCACCATCCCCATCAGCCAGTGAGGGGCCCTCCAGGATGGATCGCGACCGTCAAGCATCAACACTATTAGCTGACTAGTGATGCTTACATCTGGAGCCAATAGTATATCGACTTCATCCCCCAAAGTTCGGCGAATCATTCGATTCTTTGCTTGTTCCGTGCCTGACGCCATTGCCTTGATGAAACAAACATAATCCAGCGAATAAAGACCCGGCTCACAGCGGAGGTCGCTGCCTACAGCCCTTTCTCCGCCCAACAGTGATAATGGTGGCTTTGACGCCACGCAACTCCCAAACGTCAGACGGGACAAAAATATCCCACCCCCGAGAAAGGGCTGGGCAGAAGGAAAGGGAATCCCTTCGAAGGGGGGGTGTAGATGCCAATTTGCCAAGCAGTAGAACCTATCTTTGATGTAGCTCGTCTACGGTTTCTGCATCTTTTCTGCAGAATGGTACACTTGACGACAGGTCAACTATGGTTGCGGTGTGGTTCTTAGGGCACAGAAATTATCGGCATTACATGAGGGGAACAAGGCATGGCGCCCAGACGAGGGGAATGCCTTCGAGTCTGGACTGCAGTGGGGGGCGCGCAGTGGGCGTTCATCCCGGCCAGATGGTGAACTAAACTGCCACTAAACTAGTGCTGCCCTAAAGGCGCGGTCTGGCCGCTGCCAGACAGTTGGACGACATGACCCAGCACAGAACCGGATTGTTGAGAGTGGTTCTGTCGAGAGAAAAGCTGCACAAAAGTACAAGATAAACGATACTGTTGGGTAGACATACACCTCCATCCAAAGTAGGGGGAATAAGTCGGATACATCCACTGGACCGATCAGCTGCAGGTATCCGCACCACTGCAGGAACAACCACCGCAAGGTTCCCCCCGGACGCTTGCTGTCCAGTCGCTGCCAATCGCCAGGCACACGGGCTGAATAATGGGCGTCAATATTTCTCTGTCCCACTGTCCCTGAGCGACACACGGTACCCGCCCGATGACGTTCCATGGGTCGGCCGCGGTGAGGATGCAGGGGGTCAGGAACGCTCCGACGCAGGCAATCAGAGGGGGTCGTCGAACAATGGAAAAAGCAACGACTAGTGACTAGTCGGACTTTACTCATGCAAAGAGCAAAAAACCTTCCTCCCTGTGGAGACCTGATTGGTCGGAACCGAATGGGCGCCTAGAAAAAGCACCCAGCCCTAAGTTGTTCTGCAACTGCCACTGCCCGTTGTTGGGCGTCTATATAACCGCCCTCTTTCCCCTCCCTGTCTCCTACTCGAAACTCTCTTCCTCACCTAGATCTTCCTCTCTCACCTCCCCAGCCTTTCCTTCTTTGCACCTGTGCCGTGCACGGTCAAGCCATTCCTTCATTCTTTGAACATATTGCCTGACTCCTAGTAGTCTAGCAGCCACTCTTTGCAAGAGCGCTTTGAGAGAACCGGTATTCTCATACTCAAAAAGTTATACATACACATCACTTCTCTCCGAACAAAACCGAACAAAACCCGAAGAACATATACACCATGGTCTCCTTCAAGTCTCTTCTGACCGCCACCACCCTGGCCACCGCCGTTCTCGCCATCCCTCATGGCGGCCACGGCCATAACAGCCACAAGCACCGCTCCACCCACGTCGCCTCCAAGCGCGGCTCTTCCTCCAAGCGTGGCGCTGCCTACAACTCTGTCTCCAGCGTCCACACGCTGACCTCCGGCTCCTCCGGCAACGGCACCGTCTCCTGGGCCTATGACTGGAACATGTACGCCGACGGCAGCCTTCCCAGCAACGTCGAATACGTGCCCATGCTGTGGGGCAGCAAGATGTTTGGAGGTTGGTTGACCGCCATCGAGACTGCCCTTGACAGCGGTAGCAATTACATCATGGGATTCAACGAGCCCGACGCCTCCTCCCAAGCCTCGATGACTGCTTCCGAAGCCGCCAGCTCCTACAAGAAATACATCACTCCTTACTCTGGCAAGGCTAAGCTCGTTACCCCGGCCGTCACCAGCAGCACCACCGAAGGCGAGGGTCTCAGCTGGATGAAGTCCTTCCTGTCCGAATGCAGCGAGTGCGACATGTCAGTGCTGGCAGTCCACTGGTACGGCACCTCGGCCGATGAGTTCAAGTCCTTCGTGCAGGAGGCCATGCAGGTGGCGGACGACAACGGACTGGACGAGACCTGGGTGACGGAGTTTGCCCTCACCAGCGGCGAATCGGCCGGCAGCGATGAGAGTTCAGCGGCGGACTTCCTCGACGAAGTTTTGCCGTGGTTGGATAGCCAGAGTGGCGTGGGACGGTATGCGTATTACATGTGTGCAGACGGCTATCTGCTCAGCGGGGAAGAGTTGAGCTCCAGTGGAAAGGTCTACGTTGCATAGACAACTACAACTACCTTGATTCCATTTAGATCTGCTTTACCTTGCCTTTTATCCTTGATACCTTTTGAGTTGTTTTTATTCTACCATTCTTATGCCATCCTTTCTTGAAAGAAAAGAAAGAGATGAGCATCCCATTTTACCACCCACTTTTACTTCAATACAATACAAGTCCAATTGAAGTCAAATAAAATGAAAAACCCAAATAACAACTTTCCCACAAAAATTGTAACAAATGAATCACATTCACAACCCCGACCGAAACTCCAAATTAAAATCCACATACATCCCCCTAAACACACTAACCAGTGCCCGTTCCACGGCTCTTCCGACCCAGAAAGCAGCAACATTGGTCCTTGCTCCCTCCTTTCCCCGTTGACTTCTACACATCCATGGACATTACCCCCCCGTGGTGAATCTTCATTGGCTGGAAGGCTATTTTTGGGTTTCCGGCTTTCTATCTCATCTGGTTTTGTTCATGTTGATTATCATGAGGTTTTACCATGTTGGGTTTGGTCTGGGCTCGCTTGGCTGGGCTGGGCTTAGTTTCCTTTCCTTTCCTTTTTTTTTTTTTTTGTCTTTCCCTTGTGATGCGATGCATTTTAAGTAATTGATTGATTGATTGTGAGATAAGTAGTTAGTTAGTTGGTTAGTGGTTGTGGGGTTGGTTCCGTTCCAATGGCTCGGGAAATTGGTTTTTCTTGGTGAGAGAGATTTATTGTGATAGAGAAGAGAGTCTGGATTTTTTTGTTGCGTGGGCTTGGCCGCTTGGCTGCTTGGCTGGTTAGTTTTCTGTTGTTCTTGCTTTGGGGGTGTTAGACGAGAGATGGAAATGAAGTAGTAGGTTCGAGGGTAACAGTGTTGAATGGGGTTTGTTGCACTAGGTTGCGGAGAGAAAATGGCGCAGGTGTTGGATAGTTGCATTAATTCTGAACCGTGCAGTAAAGTTAGTAGGACTTGACTGACTGACTGAATGACTGACAAGGTTTGGTTGGGTAAGCCGCTGGATTAGTTAGCTATGATTCACGTGATATAGGTCATGTTGATGCAGAGTAGACAGAATAAAACAGTGAAAATAAAAAAATAAAATAAAATAAAAAATAACGAATAATATAAATCATTAAGAAAAAATATCGAAAGGAATTATGCTGTACAGCTTACCGATACGAAATTATTCCCTCGATCGAAGGTTAGTATGTATTGTTTCATCAAGAACAATGAATCTGCGGCATCTTCCGCCTCGAGGAAACGACTCATGATCTAGTGTCGCAATCTGGATGACCGGGAAATTTTTACAGGAGAACTATTGGGGTCTCTCTTCAAAGTAGCCTGCTTGATTCGCAATTCTCCGTCCGGGCTAATCTACAAGGTCATCGAGATGGCTATGGTATTGATCGTAGGCATACTGCAGACGATTTGTTCCTCGGCCTGTACCTGGAAAGAATGAAGCTGGACTGATCTTGGCGACAACCAATCCCTTCTTGAAGTTGTAGTATCGTGTACCAGCCTCACTACAAATTCTAAATCACCATATATACAAGTCTCCTATTTCTGGCGCGATCCAGAAGCTTCATCGCCTGTTTGGGAACCAACTGAACAATGAAACCACCGCTAGCAGACGGGACATCAGGAGTGGGAAGCAGGTTCGCATGCTAGGAATACCGCCCAAGGAAGAAGCCTATTTATGCAAGCGATACTCAGATGATTTCCATTGGCCCATATTCCATCACTCCATTCACAGAAGAGAAAGATCAAAGTTTAGACTTGGCCCAATCATCAAAATCGCACTGCAGAACAGTAGTCAAGCGTGAAAACGAGTAATAAGATCCCTATAATAGGAGTTCAATTTCTCATCTACAACATACAACAGAGGAGGGGGAAGTTACTAACCTGAAGGGTAATGATCTCCACGATTTCTCTATCAGAGAATACACCCTTAACACTCTTCCACAGCTCATCACTAACTTCAGGCTGTTGGATAATTGTTTCGACGAAGCTGAGCAAGATGAGATCTTTGTCGCTGAATCCCGCCGCCCCATTGTCAAATTTCCTGTCGATGAAGAAGTTCTTTTCCTTAGCGGATGCTTTCAGCGCCGCTTGCTGCTGTTCGGTCACACCGGCCTTCAATGATACGGGAATATGATGGGTCCATTCATAGGTTGAGTTGAACTTTGACGTTGTCAACATAATCACCAATTCACGGTGTCTGGCTGAGAGTGATAAATGCTTGAACTGGGCGTTCCCTAGCCCTGCCCAGTGATCAACAGTTGCTGTGCTGTAGGATAGAAGTTTCATGATGTTGAGCGTAGGGTGCGATTTGGCATGCTGTTTAGGCGGCTCTGGATAGGGCAGTCGAGCCATGATGGTTCTTTTGGAGAGTGACTAGGCTATAGAATGGTTGAGATAGATCCGTGTAACGACCAGATGTTGTTGATTCTGTGCGGGGATATTGTCATATATTACAGTTGATGTTGATTAGCGATCTTTGTTGAGTCTATGACGACAAATCCGTAAGTGCCTCCTGGGCCGAGGGCCGAGCAAATAGTCGGACCCCGAGGTCGTGGAGGTATAACACAGCGCTGAGGCTGAGTAGACAATTCAACGATGCCAACAAATGGAGCATTGAATAACACGAACAATGTCTTCCAGATAATTTGTGGGTTTGATTGAATGTAGTGGTGTTTGGCAGTCACGATAACGGATACGATGGAAGAGTTGCCGCATTGACAAACTTAGCTACTACTTAACCATTACGTGTCAATACGGAGCTATTAAGGAAGAGTCAAAACAGTTGCGCCAGTTCTGCATCCTAGTGTACGTGAACTCGTGTCATGACAGGTGGTTAGGTAGATAGTAGTCAGTGGATGTCTCTGTGTATGTGGACATCCACTCAATTCATATTATAATAATTGGTTGTGGTTAGTTGATAATGTATCGAGTGCTGTATCTCATCATCCCTCGTGTCTATTATACATTCCTGAACGCCGGTCCGTCCGTCCACACACCCATCCAGCCAGCCAGCCCTTTTTGTTCTCTTTTATTTTTCTTTTGGTTCCTGGTTATAATGTACATTGGTGTTACCCGTCTGGGCCTGTGGCTTCGCCCATTTCGGTGTCTTCCGGTTCCGGTTCCGGGTCATCTTTGTGTCCGTTCGGTTGTTCGAGGTTGTGGTCGTGGTTTGTTTCTGGTAGACCGTTTGGTTTCTCGACTTCCATGTTCCCAATCGGTTGTTGGACCGTGTCTCCATTCACTCCGTCTCCGTTTATTTGGGGAGGAGTGTTGGCGGTGGAGGTGTTCGTGGTATCTGCTGCTTCTGCATCTGCATTCGCTTCCTCCCATACCCGCACGGTCCCGTCTAACCCGCAGCTCACCATCAGCCGCGACTCCTCCAGCGTGCATGTGTCCACTCCCAGCACCACCCCGTTGTGGCCCTCCAGACGCTGCAGCACTTGCTTGCTGACCACGTCCCAGCACAGCACAGCTCCGTCCTCGCTGCCGCTAACGACGAACGCATACCGCGGTCCGCCCCGTTCTCCATATACTCCGAATCCACCCTGCAGACTGTATTTCTTGTTGCCATGGCCCTGGTACGTCTTGATGCACCGCCCCTCGACGTAGTCCCACAGTCGCACGCAGTCGTCCAGCGTCCACGCCAACACGTACTTGCCGTTCGGGGAGAACTTGACCGCCGTCACGGGCGGGTTGTCTTCGTGCACCAGCGTCCGCAGACACTGGCCCGTCGCGGTATCCCAGATTCGAATCAGTCCGTCTGTCGCGCACGAGGCAATGAGGGTGCCGTCCCAGACGACGTCGATGCCTCCGACCGGGTCAGAGTGTGCGGGCAGCGACCGCATCACTCGTGCTGATCGCACATCCCATAGGAATACCGCTTCATCGTAGGATCCGCTCACGAGCATGTTGCCTTTGGGCGAGAATGCTATCTGGTAGACGTAGTTGTGGTGGCCGACGAAGGGGATCGGATGCGCCTTGCCCTGTTGCAATGTATTAGTTCCCGAGAATATTACCAAAACGTTATTTGCAACGTAAACCCACCGTCAATACATTCCACAGGCGAATCGTCTTGTCATCTGATCCCGACGCAATGGTCGCACCGTCCGGACTCCACGAGATAGTCGAGATGCCTGCCAGATGACCCTCGAATGTATGGATCAACCGACCCGTCACTGTATCCCATACCTTGACAGCCCCATCCGCCCCTTGTAACACTGTCAGCGACCTAATCTATACCAAGGAAAATTGAGGAAAAAGGAGAGGAGCATAATAAACCCACCTCCGCTAGCAATCATCGAAGAGTCCGGCGAGAACCGTACTGCCGAGACTCCTCGGATATGACCCCGTAGTAAATACTTCTGGTGATAAGTCACCTTGTCCGGTTTGGGCGGCGGCGGTGGTGGTTGCGGCACCGGGGTAGGCGACCGTTCGCCAAACGACTGATCAACAGCTACATCACCGTCGGCGGCGGTTGCGGTCTCTTCGACATCGCCCTCGGCGCCGCCGTCTTCCTGCTCCGGATCAATTTCGGGGTCGAGTCCAGGCTCGGGAGCCACGTCTTCCTCCTCTTCTTCCGCCTCGTCGTGGTCGTGGTCGAGATATCGCTCCGAGGACGGCTCCGCGCTTGGCTCGGAGGGCGAGGACGGACTGCGACCGCGATTCCTCGCCGACCAGTACTCCTTCGCGTCGACAGCCAGCTCGTCGGGGCTCTCGGAGCCGCTGAAGCTGCGCGAGCGGCGATATGGGCGCTGTGGGGGATATGCCTTCTGGATGGACCAGCTGGCGCGGCGGCGTTCGGCCTCCTCGTGGTCGGAGCCCGCGGCCAGCTCGTCGGACGAGGATTCTACGGGCGAATGGATGAAGCCATTCTGGGGCTTGGGAGTGGTATCAAGGCGACGTCGCTTGGAGCGATGCATGGAGCCATCCATGGGAAGGCAGAAAAACGGCGCGAGAGAATTGTGGGAAAATAGGGAGAGGGAGGGAGAAAAAGCAGAAAAGCAGCGATCGCGATGATTTCTTTCATCGCCGCGACTTTCATCCCTCGTGACAATCAGGCGCTTTTGGGAAGGCGGTAAGACCGCTTCCCCAGAATGTGCCTCAAGGCGGTGAGCACCATGATTTCATCGTTTTTCGTTACTTTGGCTTCATCTCCACCTCATCTATATCCCCCTTAATCAACCATATTCATCTTCCTTTGTTCTTTCTAGTCTTTCTATTGCCCATATTCTATCTCCTATTATTATTACTATAATTTACGAAATGCTCCTCTAATTCAACAATACTACATCATCCCACAATGTCTGCCACCTCCGAACCCCCCTCTTCCTCCCCCTCCTCAACCCCCACCCACATCCGCATCTTCACCCTTAACTGCTGGGGTCTCAAATACATCGCCAAACACCGAAACGCCCGCCTCGCTGAAATTGGCCGGCAGCTCGCCATTGCCTCTCCGCCGCCCGAAATCGTCGGTCTTCAGGAATGCTGGACACAAGAAGACTACGAATCCATCCGTCAGCAGACCCGACACATCCTCCCTTACGGAAAGTTCTACTTCGGCGGTATCTGGGGCGCTGGTCTCGCCATCCTCTCCAAATGGCCCATCGAAGAAAGTAGCATGTTCGCATACCCGCTCAACGGGCGTCCCACGGCCTTCTTCCGCGGCGACTGGTACGTCGGGAAAGGCGTGGCATGTGCGCGCGTCCGCTTCGGACCCGGAGTCCAAGACGTCGCGGAGGTGTTCTGCACGCATTTACACGCCCCCTACGAGCGAGAACCCAACGATTCGTATATCTGTCATCGAACGGCACAGGCGTGGGAGATTGCGAAGCTTATGCGCGGGGCTGCGGAGCGCGGACATCTAGTCATCGGTCTGGGCGACTTCAACATGCTGCCGTCATCGTTCGCGCATCAATTGATCCAGGCTCACAGCCCCGTCCGAGATGCATGGCAGGTCCTGCATCCGGATTCCTCGGTCGGCGCGGCCATTGACCCCGTCGAGCAGAAACGGGGCAAGCCCGTTCCTTCAGCGGAATACAACCTCACGGAGAACGGCGCCACCTGCGACGGAAAATTCAATACCTGGCGGTGGTCCAAAGAAGATCAGAAGCGTCTCGAAAAAGGCCAAGACATCGTCGTCGACAAGGATGCCCCATGTCCCAAAGGCAAACGCCTCGATTACATCTTCGTCGGAGACGGCAACTACCCCCCATTATACCCGGCACCGCGCTGGTCCGTCGAATCCACCCGACTCTCAATGACAGAGCGCCACCCCACCCTCCGCTGCTCCCTGAGTGACCACTTCGCCGTCGAGGCAGTTATCACTCGCATCCCATCAGAGAAAGCCGCCAACGACACCAGTATTACCCACCATTCCCCTGCCCCCAACGCCGCCCTCACACCCGATACCTACGACCGCATCATCGACATGATTCACACGTACGTCCGTCGCGAGCGATCACAGCGCCGGTGGCGCGTAGCGCATTTCCTAGCCTCGGTGATTATATCCATTGGCTGCTTCATTGGGGTCTGGTGGACAGGCGATCACCTACCATACGTAGCATTTATTTTGGTTCTGGTGAGCACGTTGAGCTTTGGAGCGGGTATCTTGGATGGCTTGATTGGAGGGTTGTTTATGTCGAGTGAATTGCGCGCGTTGAAGGAATTTGAGTGGGAGGTTAGGAATGCGAAGATGATTGCTGAGGCGGTTGGCGGGAAGGGGGAGAAGGTGGAGTAGGAGGGTGCTTTTTGGGAAAATTGGGATATGTTGGGTGTAGTAAGCTTTTGTGTATATGTATAGTATGTAAATTTTGGAAAGGAATGAGATGGTGTATATGCTTGAATGGCAGTATGGGTCATGTCCTAAGTAGTAGTTGGGTCTATGCATTCTTTGTTCAAGTTGTGCATCTTATGCATGCATGCATTTATGTGCCGGGGCATAGGTATCCGAACCGGTGTTTATCTACGCAGGTCTATTATCCTACAAATATATGAAATATTGATAGACAAGTATAATAGTCATATTGATCATAAAGAGTGTCGTTAACAAGCCAGCGACATCATCATCATCCTCGTGTGTTGCAATTTAGTCACACCACGTGCAGAATCTTCCACATAACGAGTGAAGAATAACAAATTCCATGTGATCTCTCACACTCAAACGGAGTTTACTGAGACATTTACTCAGCGCACTCGCGCTTACGCTCGTCAAAGATCTGCAGCGCCTCCTCGGCAGCCTTGACACCGCTCAGGACCATAGCACCAAAGGTAGGACCCATGCGGTTGAAGCCATCGATCTCCGACAGCTCCATACCACCGATGATCAAACCCTTGGTGACCTCGCGGGTGTTCTTGACGATGGCGTCCTCGGCCGAGTTCATGTCCAAGCCGCGCATACCGCCGAGCTTGTCGACGCTGTTCATGGAGACGAGTCTCTTGGCTGAGAAGGCACCGAAGGGACCGTCGTGACCGGTGGTACTGATGATCACGGGGGCGTTGATGGTGTTGGGGTCCATGCAGGAGTGGTCGTCGTGGTGAAGAGTGACCAGGGTCCAGTTGGTGACCACACCGGCGATGCGGACATCCTTGGGGTCGCCGCTGGCAGCGGGGCGGGTGATCAGGTCTTCCACGCTGGTAGCGTTGAAGAGCTTGACGTTGGGGAAGGAGAGAAC